ATTTCAGCGACCAGAGAGAGGGGGGGGATATATCCAGTCTCTGATTGTGTTACGTTATTATGAGAGTGCTCTCATACTTGTTTGATTCTGAAATTGTATATATTTATATAAATATATGTGTGTGTATATGTCCGCATCTGTAGCCTGTTATTGTCTCATTATACCGCACTGTCAATGAATTAAAAGTAAATATATAAGTCATCATGAACACATCTGTCCATCAGACAGAGTGCTGCTGTGCCTCCTGTCATCATTAATGGACGTCTCTTTAAAATGACCGCTCAGACGAGAGGAGTTCTCATTTCTCTAACCGCCTGCTGCTTCCCCTCCTCTCTCCTCGGTTCCCCTCCTCGACTCCTCCGCTCGCATCTCCTGTGGGCAGCACTAAGTCTCGAGGATAGGAGTCGAGGATAGGAGTCGAGGAGGGGAAATTAGAGTATTGAGAAACCTCTAGTGACTCAGGTCAGCCGCAGCTTGGGCGATGTCAGCTGATTTTTGTGAGCTGGAAAAGCTGCATGTCAGCCAAAGAAAGGGAGGTGCAAGTGAGAGCTACTGCAGCAGAGAAAGACATAATGGTCAGAGGACACGGAGAACGGGGAGAAGAAACACATCTATCTGTGTCTCCCATAATGCATCACCTCTCTATCCATCCCAGGGAGAATATAGGGATAGTGGTTGCTGAATGAGCTGCTTACACAAGAAGAACGGAGCAGTTTTTTCCCAAATGGACTGAAAGAGGGAATACATTATTTCTAGGGATGCTCCGATCGCCAATTTTGGGGCCGACCGCCGGAATCAGTATCGGCCGATCCGATCGAGTGGGTGGGGGCTATGGGGATCTTCCATTTAAAGTGATGTTTAAAACTCAGTTAATGGGGCTCATTTACTGGCGCTTCCACAAACAACAACCAACATAATTATTACATTCAAATGAAGTACATTATTCAAGTTTACATTAACTTTGGATAATAACACGGGAGAAATGAGCGGAAGCGCTCTCTTTTCCTCTCTGCCTCCCTCCCTCTTCTGACAGCCGGTCCCTATCCGTCTCATGCAGCTCACTGATCCAGTAATGAGTGACCCGACAGTGAAGAATAAACATATTTATAACTAGTTTAGCTTGTTCCAGAGGTAGATAAAATAGCTAAGTGTGTTGGGTCTAACTCCGAGTGTGTGTTTTGCTCCGCTCACCGGTCCGTCACAGCGGGTGGAGCTGCAGGATTTCTGCTTCACACACGTTGCATACCGCTATTTTACTGTCTTTTTCGGACACCTTAAAATACAGCCAGACTGGTGAAGCCATTTTGGCGAGCTTATTTTGCCGCGCACAGAGAAAAGTGTCATGTATTTTACGTCATGTGGTCGTCTCTCCCGATCAGCATTTATAGAGAGCACCGATCGATCGGCAGAGAGTGAATATCGGCCGATATCGATCGGCAGAGAGTGAATATCGGCCGATATCGATCGGCGGCCGATCGATCGGAGCATCCCTAATTATTTCTTTGCTAAATGGTTCTGGTCAGCGTTAAAACTAATCTAGGCTGAGGTAGAACTTTAAAGCAATGAACTGAACTAGACTGATTGAACCTCTTTAAAGTCACAAACTTTATGCACCTGAATTCCTTGATTTGGCTATTGTGAGACATCATGGCCCATCTTATTACCCAATGTTTTCATTGTTCAGTAGTGTTTCCAAGTTCAATTTCAAATCCTATCTAGCCCAGAAGATATATAGCCCATTTTCCATAATTGCAGGGAGAATAGTATTGTTCTTGGTAAAACATTTATACATGCAACCCTTTGGCAACTTCACAACAATCAGCAATGTAGGCTGAGGGAAGCCAGAATTTCCTTTACAGAAATAGTTTCAGACTATGTAAACATTCCTATTCACTTTCTAGCCTATGGATAGATGACAAAATCAATAACCCTATTACATACAAAGCTACAGCCATCAGCCAGTTATCTTATTATAGCACAGAGGGAGAAAGCTAGCCTGGTACTTTCCAGGATTTTCTGGCCCTGAGCAGTGACTTCCAAATGTCTCCAATGTTTGCCAGGTTACCTCATGGTATACTCCAGATGACAATAACCCCCAGTAGAAACAGAAATTGTGATTTTCACCATGTTGTGTTTGTGAGGAATAAACAACAAGATATGACATGTTTTATAGATGTTGGTAGGTGGAATTTTTACTCTGTTGAGTCATTACTTTTAAGTTTTTGTTTGAAGTATGAATGAAGAACGAGTTAATGGAGGGCAAAGGCAGCAGTAACATGACAGGCACACACCCAGACAGGCAGGGGTGATTAAGAGGACAGAGAAAGGAGGCTCACAGAACAGCTCATACTCTCCGGTATTGCTTAATGATTTATTCTGTGTGTATGGAGTTTTTTTAAACTTGTAGAAACAACGGAGAGCAAGTCTAACATTTCCAGTCGTATATAGGGCTGTGATGACGCAACACAGCCGACAGCAGACAGTAATCCCTTCCCAGAGAATATACACAGAGAGACGTGACCTCGCACGTCCCCATGACTCCAAATCTAAGCACACAAAACATTGCATAAGAGCATGACACTGGGGAATTTCAAAGACGAAACAAATTCAAGAACTTCCAGCTATACTATCAGTCCTCCATCCATCCTCTCTGCCATACTTCTGTCTCCATCTCCGGAATCTATCAGCAGTTGTCACCAAGTTGCTTAATCTTAGTTGTCATTCTTATTTCTCTTTTGTCTCTCCCACAGGATGGACAGGACATTTTGACTTTGAGGAGACGAGGGATGACACTCAGCGCAATGTGTGCATCCATGATAAGAAAAAAAGAGAAACGAAACGAGCTCCTCTATTTGTCTTCCCCTGACCAATAAGGAGGCTTATTTCTACGTGAGGACTGTCAACAAACAATGACGCCCTGTTTCCTGGGATTGATCCAAATAGGGCGTTATGTGATGCGGTAACAGATAACAGCTAGAATATGATCTTATGCATCAATTTTACTTTTTAAAGGTGACAATGAGTACACTTAAGTGAGTTAATTTAATTTTAAGCAGATTGAACTGTTTTCTAAACCATAAACTAGACACGTATATCAGGTATTAAAGTTTGGCCTGCATTGTGAAGGAAGAATTTTTTTTTCTGTAGCGATTCTACTGTAAGTGACAGGAAGTTGCATACATCCAGCAAGTGGAAAGAAAAAAATAAAGACAGACAGATGAACCATGAATTAACTGAAGTTAATCCTTGCATTAACAGACATCAATAGGGTATTCAATGCTGTGTTTTGAATTTTGGTGGTGAGATAACACATTTGTTCAAGTGTGATCACAGATTGAGCCTGTAATTACACTGTTCTTGCTTCTCATGACATCCATCTGTTCACAAGATCAACGGACATGACAAGCAAGCTCTCACTACTCCCCTGGGCTTGAAATACACACATGGTGAAGGCTCAAGGTTGATTTACTGAACGAAAAACGTATGTGTGAATGCAAACACACACCTGATGCACATACATGAGTCACACACACACATTGCAAAGGTATTTAAGGTGCCAAGCAAGAAGATCTGCATGTGCATTTCTATAATTACACCCTTATATTAGAAGGTGACATTTCCTTTTTGACCACAGCTTTCTGCATGAGTCAGTGGTGGAACGCCTGTATCACAGCTTGGAGCACTAGTGGCAGCAAGAGGAAAAATTGACTTGTGTTTTTTCTTTAATTTGACAAGAGTTACCTCTGTATGTGCAATCATATTGTTAGCCTTTAACACGAAAGAGAGATGCATTTCAGTGATCTCCTTAATTCTACAATACTTTTTAAAAGTCTTACAAAAAATATTACATTGAGTTGGTGGACTGAATAGCAAGATATTGAAGTGACGGAAGCTGAAAAGATTAGCAAGAAAGTCTTTTATCTTTTTCATCTCTAGCTTTGCTTGCTAAAAATAACTTATTTTTGAAATGCCCTAATTATTTGGTCAAGGTGCTGCTTGTTATACATGTGATTCTTCTCTAGAGGTTAACAAATCTAATTGGGGTTTACATCATAGCCTCTGGATTGACTAGATGCCAGTGGTGACAGTGCTCTGCAACCAGACCATTGTTCCACCTGACTACTAGCCCTCAGCTAGAATAGAACCAGACAAGAACCCCCAACGGATCACAACAACACATGGGTGTTGTTAATTTAAAAGAAAAGTGCTGTTGTGCTGTATGGCATACATGCAAGGACAGAAAGCAATCACTGTCACCCCCACCATTTCCATCTTTCTAATTTTAGACCAGAGTTTTGAGACCAAATAAACACAAATGCTTAACACAGACAATGGCTCTTTCTTTGTATCATCAATCAATGCTGCAGAAGTGCAACTGCTAGTGGTATAAAACACCCCTAAATGCTGAAACCATAGCTCTGCATTGCGTTAGTCTAATCATGTGCAACCAATAGGGTACCATGAAATAAATGCATAATTTACAAGGGAATATGGTGCTGATCAACGAGGTAGCCTATAATAATAATGATAATCTGCAATTGTATTAGATCTGTCCATTTTAGAATATATTTGTTTTAGATAAAAGTATTTAATAGAGAGCTTGAAGTGTACAGCCCTGGCTGTTATTAGGTTTTTTTAAATAAGCTTTAAAAAGGGATGATTTAAGTTATTTTCCGCGTAATCAAACTAAAAGTAGTGATTAGCCCTAGACGTCAATCTGGGGTTAGCGGACTAGTTTAAAAGGCACCACACAAACATGATAGACGGAGTATTGTCAGAGAAAGAGAAAGGCAGAACGTGATGAACTGATAGACTCAAATAAGTACTTCATGTTTATCTTGTAGCCTTTTCAATGCAATTCTCAGACATCCTGCCACATGTCTGGGACAGCAAACACAACGGTTTCGCTCTCTGAGTGGTCTGAAAAAAGCAGTCAGAGGTGAAAAATGACACAAACAAGTTCACATATAGACATTAAAAAAAGACTACAAAAAACTCACCTCCTCCACAGTGAGGGGCATGCATATCCTGTACTCCTTCAGCAACATCTTCCCCCTCCGCGCGTCTCTTGAATGTATTCACAATGTGTCAAACCAGCCCAGTAAACGTTCCCTCCGACGGGATGTGTGTAATATCTGGAGACGTGTCAGCGCATGTGGGGGGATGGTTTGTCCGGGTTAAGAAATACACCCCGAGTTACGTTTGAGTTCTTTCATCGGAACCAGCGGTCACTCTCTCCGGCAGGGAACGCGAGGGCAGAAATGAGCTCGGTCAGGATCGTCCCCTCCTATCATGCTGATAGTCAAGCTAAGAACAGCACCGGAACACATAGGATCCTGGCCTCCAAAATAAGGGTGTGCAATATCACTACGACTACGAGAAAATAAAAATACACTGGAGATATCCCTGTTGAATATTCTTTTGATTCTTATATAGTCTAAACATGTATAAGCTGGTAACACTGACTGAACACTCAATTAGGCTAGTTTCTACTGCGTCTAACTGCATGCCTTGTTTTAGATGTACTTGATGTATTTTAATAATACTTTTATAACTGTTTATTCAAACATATGTTTAGCTAATTCTAGCATTATTTCAAGGACCTCCTTAAAGTTGATAGGAAGTTAAAATGAAGATTGATGAGCTTTATCATGTGCACATGAAATATCTTTCTTTACAATTAACTTTAAAATAAAGTTTAATATTATTATTAAATATTATTCCAGCAGTAGTAGCTATCTATCTATCTTTCTATCGATCTATATATAGTTTTCTGTCCATCCATCCATATATCTATCTACTCGTAGCTTCAAGTCATTCTTCAATACGAAAATTATTTTGAAAACGGATTGAACGGATGTGAGTTTGCCTTATGCCAGGTAGCTGCAAATGGGTCTATTCTGTATACCGCCACAAATACGAAAAGCAAAAAGTACAACTTGCTGATAAACAAAATAATGTGCTTTTTCAGAGTGAAGTTCCGTGAGACCGCCACCATGGTACAGTAAAGAAGGTTTTGAGTTGGATAATCAACAGACATTCTCTCCCGTCTTCTTCCTCAGTTTCAGTCTGTCTGCAGTCAGAAGAAGGGTAGTGTATATCCAAGTCTTCTCCCTTGACCACAGAGTTTTACTTAGGGACCATCAATAAATTACTCTTAAAAACACACAAAACCAATGTTATTTTCAATACACCTGTGCAAACTTGCATGAAGGGGAAATGTGGCTACAAAGTATGCTACCACTTCCATGTCATGTGATAAGTGATTCAAAACATATACCAAATAATATTAATAAACTGGACACATTCAGTAAAACACAACTCTTTAATTGGAGTTTAGTATTTCTTCTGTCTTATTTGAATATTATTGGGAACATTTGAAAAAAAGTCTTGAATCTATTAATTGTTGCATGTCCCAGTGTCTCCAAATCAATGCAGCATTGTATTTCTACACTGGCCAAGTAGGACACATCTATGTTTAAGGGTTTAAGGGTTAAAAGTTTTTGTTGCATCAAAAACCCTAAGACCTAGTCCATTGTAGAAATAATATCTGGTATGGTTTGAGAGTGCCTTACGTAACATAAAAGCTATTTAAATATCACTGAAATAATCTTCCATTGCACATTTTTGTAATATCAATTAATAAATCAGTGATTAATAAAGGTGTGGCCCGAAATGAAAATACATTGTACTTTATTAGGCATAATTGTCAATAAGAAATAGTCATGTTATACAGAGTTATTATATGTTTTTTGTCATTCAGTGGGTAATTTGTTGAAGGCCCCTCAGAGTGTATAGGTTAAAAGCATAGATAGACTGTATGGTTAAAAGAGGAGTCTCTTAAGTGAGCTGGGTCCTCTACTGCTGACAGTCTGTGAAACTGAGAGGTCCGGAATAAATGTCTGTCGAAAATAAAAAACTAAAGCTAACTCACCGCGATGAGACCGCCCCCCTTTTCAAAGTCACATTTTAAGGTTGTTGTTTTTAGAGTAGGTTAGAACAAAACAAGTTCCAGGTAAAAGACGCTCTCCTGTTTTGATATAGGCCTACTTCTTGTTAAAGCAGCTTGCAGATGCATCGGAACATTTAAGCGGTTAACAGCACCCCCAGCCCTTCCTCTTCTCGGCCTGCTGAAATGCGACGCGTTGGCTACTTGTGGGAAACAGGTCGATAGAACCACAGCTCAGGAAACATCAGTTCACTTCACTGCTGCACATTCACTCTTCATTTGTCTCGCCACCGTCACCTCTTTCATTTCGTTTCACACACACGTAGCTAGGCCTGCATAGTTCTGGTTAGGACGCTATTAAAGCAAGAGGAACGCTTTCTTGACAGAAGCAGTCTAAATATTCTGAATGTGACGTAGCCTATATGTCTTTCTATAGCCTCGGGAGGCCTACCTTAATTCTCCCACCGTTATAATACAACGAAATGAAGCATCCCACACATACATGTATGGAAACGAAGTAGTGTTTAGACCTGGTTTAGCCCATGCTACAGATTAGACAGAAGGCAATAACACTGAAAAAGCAGGCAAAGCAAAGTCCCCAGTATTGTCAGCTGATTTATAGCTTTAAGGCTTCATTCAGTCATTGAATGCAAATCATCTGCAATTACATTTTAGATGTGAGGTCTTTAGGTTTATAATTGATCATTTGACAATAGGGAGACAATGTAAACAGCAGGGTGAAAATGCATGGTTGTTTTGGTGTGGGTTTATCAGTCATATGTTTCATTTCAAACAATTAAACCATGCAAAGTGGAGTAGCCTGCAGATGCACCTGCACATGTCCTTTGCTGTTAAGCTATTATTTAGCTCTTTGAGACTTAAGGTGAGAAATCTAATTACATATGTTGAGATGTATGCATTTCTTACAGTATGTCCCTAACACCTTCTAGTCTCATGTCATGGTAGAGCAATATGCCTTTCAGCATTTTGGTGATGTCTATGGTTTGAGATTACTATAGTAAACAAGGACGTCCTTCCCTGTCCAAGCATTTAAAAAGATCTGCTCGGTTGAATATACTTAAAGCACAGCTGAAAGACAAGTGAGATAAGCCTGTATCTGTGATGACAGCACTCTTATGAACACAATTAGTTACACTTACTTATTTAAGTCATGCTCGTCTAGACAAATAGAGAGAAACTATCTAAACACATTAATAAACAGTCACTTTTAATCAGGGGAGGGGTTGCTGACACCTCTGATGTATTTGGGTCTCCACACTCAGCAAAATTCACGCTCATATTTCTGTATTTAAGATGCCGACAAGCAATATTTTGCGCTGTCAGCGCACATTCAGCGTTTCCCCCAGAAATATATTCATGCAGGGTTGCAAACTCTCTGAAGCAGATTTGAATTTTAACTCTCCACATAATCCCTAAACTAATGTGTGAGCAGCTTCCTGAAATAGGGTCACCAACATTTTACTCCATAGACTCCATACCATGCCTTCACATGTAGATGTAAGTTACAAAGTTATTGAAAGAAAATATGAGACGATAAAGTTATCCATTAAATTAAAGGCCGTTGTTCTTTGTGTCTTTAACAAAGATACAACCGTTATGTATTTTACCAGGAAACAGTTTAAAGGCCCTGTTTGGTTTAGTCCCCTTTACCTGACATTAGTCTTATAATAAGGTTTTTTTTATTTGTGTTCTCCATAATGGTCTAACATTGTGTAGCAGCAGGACATTTAAATGGGTTTTATGAATTAAATTATGAATGAAGTGAGTATTTCCTTTCTGGCAGTCAGTGTTTAACCCTTGTGTTTTGTTCAAAAGCTGTTACCGTTCATGGTGTTTGCGGGTCAATTTTGACCCATGATTTATCTCAGTCCAAAACACTCAAAAATAATGACTATCATCCAATATTGTTTTAACTACATCATAACTAACTTATTATGCATTCATAACCGTACAATCCTGTTGTAATTTTCTTTTATGGCCCCAAAAAACATTACACCACATATTTAAGTAAAACATGTGATTCAATTCACTCATTATATTTCCTATAGTGAAGACAGTGGATCATTACGTTATCTGACTATAATAGACTAATATTAGAATACAATCTCCCCAAAAAAAGTTTTACATTATTGTTACAGTGGATGAAGGGGGTGTGGGTGGGGTGTCTAAAGTCAAAGATGAATCTTGATTGGGCCAAATTTGACCCCGAGTCACCCAAAACAATGCTGCTGGGTCTTCCCAGACCCGAACACCAAATTATACACTTTTTTTGTAGACCTTCGGACTTGGCTAAAATGGTCAAAATCATTTTTTGTGTGTTTATATAGCTGTTGTGGAGGATATCATGAAGCCTTGTTCCATTAAAAAAAACTAGAGCGTAGTTATTATATAATTTTAACTTGAAACGGGTCACGGGAGACCCGAACACAACATAAGGGTTAAGCTTATGCGCCATTCGAAAGGAACTGTCTTTCATGTGAGAGGCATCCTTTAACTAACCATGACCTAATAGTTACTTAACTAGTTCAGTAAGGTCTGTGTTGATTAGAAAACAGACTAGAGCCTGATGTCATGTGAGCTGCTGCGTTAGTAATACCAAACAATCCTGTGAGTTCTGAACAAGGCCAAATCTCCCACTGTTTTTAATTATGGAAAGTGTGAGTTGTGTTGGAGCTGACTAAATTGTGCCAAAATCAATAAATTAAGGCCTCATCTATGTATAGCCTATACTGTACTGTATATGGCACTTGCACTGCACAACCTCTTATTGTCATAGATGACAATGAGTATAACTGATAAGAATTGCCATGATTTGAGGCTTCATTCAGTTTCCTTCAGCTGAACTATTCTTGATGTTCTAGTCAGACAAAGGTGCAAAGAGCAGTGTGAATATGTGTATGCCTTAGCAATCCCAGTTCTTGTTTCAATCGTATATTATTTTCAGTAGATTCATGTCACATTCAGTTTAAGGTCTATGCTGAGTCTGCACTGGGATCAAGCTGATTTGAACTCAGGTCTTAAGGGCTTTCTCTGCCACACGCAGGAAATTCACTGACCCACATTAGCACTGGACTGGAGCCTTTCAAAGCATTGAACTGTGTAAAGACAGGAATGCACAATGCAGACATTGAAGGGACACCTTCTGGTGGACGGTGGACATTGCACTCTGTTGTCATTAATACGACCGTGCCCATTCACAAAGTCCTCAATTCACCCTGATTATTCAAATAATGAGTACAGATCAGTTGTTACACCTTTAACATGTATTTCTGTTGTTTTCGTCACTATCCTCTTTTGTGTTAATTCTCCTCCTACATT